CATCACCTCCAAAGTTTCCCATTCCTTTGTGATTATTATCTCATTATTAAAGAACATTTAACATAAGATCTACACTATGAGCAAATTGTAAGTTTATGACATAGCATTGTTATCTATAGGTACTATGCTATATAGTAGAGCTCTAGAACTTATTTATTTTACATAACTAAAACTTTGTGCCTTTTCACCCATCATCTTTGCTTCCTTCTATTATTAAAATATTGGTACTCAGTATGAATCAATGCCCCAGATCATTTGTCCATTCAGTTATTCAATGAATACTTGAGTGCCTGCCATGAACTGACCACTGTAAAAGGCTCCAGGAAAACAATGCTGAATATAAGAGACTCAAATCTCTGCCCTTGTGGAGCTGATTCAAAGCTGTAATTCCAGGAGTTGGGGTGTGGCTCAATGGTAGAGCTCACGCTTACCATGAACGAGTATCTGCACTGTATCCCTATCACTGAAAAAAAACTGTAATTCTAGCTTTGTTTGAGAAATAATGCTTTGCAAAAGTCCAACCAACTCAAGAACTATTTTTTAAGCTCTTAAATCTATTCCTCTATGTACAAAAAGTGCTCAGAGTCCAGCATTCACTAAATTGCAGTCAGCCCATTGGCTCCTCTGAAGCAAAATTTAAAGACATGCAGATGCTCCAACAGCTGTTTAGAAAACACAATTAAGTTTCTCCTGCTTTCCTCTCAGTCCTCCACTTTATCTTTAAGAGAAAGGAAGAGATATTCCTCCAAGGGATTGTTCAGAGAATCCCCTTGCATTTGGTTCATTTCCAAGTTAACAGTAGTTTCCAGATGAGCTAATGGGTCTAAGGGGAATTTGAATATCTTCAAAGCGCTGATTAAAGGGGACTCTCCAGTTTGCAGGACTGATTAACCCATGCTCTGCTCTCTGCTTCTCAGTAATAAATAACCGAAGGCCTGCTCCAAGCAATGGGCATTCTTTGACATCCCCCATTAAGTGACCTTCCGGAGTCAGAGTTTGGTTTATCTCCTCGTGCCCTCCCACGACAACATTTACTCAAATCTTTCTATGATTCATTTACCCAGGTTGAAAGGCAGAAAGTTAGCTGGAGTCAACATCTAAAAAGGAGAACCCATCAAACACAACCTGCTCCCCAATAAAATTTACACTGCATTGAGCAACTTCTAAAACTTTGGATATAACAGCAGAGCTCCACTCTCTGTCACTGTGCACCTTCATAAAGCCTGAGAGACAGGGTAAATTTGTCTAAGAAAGGACATGAAGTTGCTTAATGTGTTAACTGGCCTTTGAAAATTATCCTTTGCGAATTTATTTTTTGTTTTAGTATCCCAAGCATTCTAAATTCTAAAGAAAAGTCGGGCATGGTGGTGCACATCTGTAATCCCAGCACACGGGAGGCAGGAGAATGGCTGAGTTTGAGAGCAGCCCAGACTACACAGTGAGTTCAAGCCCAGCCTGAACTACATAGCAAGACCCTGTCTCCAAAACAAACAAAAAATAAATTCTAAAGAAAAACCACACCTAAATGATTGAGACGTTAGCAGCAGGAATCAGCTATTCCAGGAAAAAGAAACAAGAGAAATATCAGCTATAAGACCTCCTCCTGATCAGTAATCTTTCTTAAGATTTACAGAACCCAAACTATCACATGATATCGGATAATATTAGAGCCTATGTAAAGGAAATGGACCACTGCAGGGTTAATCATTATTGACATCCATCCTACAGAAGCGCTTTGCTTGTGGCTGAGAGCCAACATGGCCCTTTAAGACAGTCCCTTTAGGGTCCTCCATCTTTCAGTCATTAGCTCACAATAGTAGAGTTCTTCATCACCACCCTGCCTCTTGACTAACTGGCTTCCATGTATAGAGAACAAACCTTTGCATGGTAACAGGAATAGAATTCAACAGAACATTACTAAGACTTTAACAGATACTTCACAAAACAGGAAGTGAAAAATTGCCAGTGCAAAGGCATTAATCTCAACAGGTGTGATGGCACTCAACAGTAATACCAGACACGTGACTTGAGTGTACAAGTGTGAGACCAATTTGTGGAACATGGTAAGAACCCACTTCAAAATGGGAAGATACAAATAAAGAGCAAAACATCAAAAGAAATCACCAACAGAGTAAAAAGAAAACCCACGAATTGGAAAAAAATTTTACCCAACTATCCCTTAGACAGAGAACTTCTATCTAGAACATACAAAGAATTTTTTAAAAATCAGGGTCCCAAAATTCAAAGACCCAATCCAAAAATGGGCATCTGAGATGAATGGGCATTCTCAGATGAAAAAATACAAATAGCAGACAGACATATCTCTTATTTTGTTCTTTGCGTTTCTCGTATAAGAGAAACCATGCAATATTTAAGGTTGTGTGAATCTGAGTTATTTCACTTAACTTTATGTTCTCAAATTTCATCCATGTACCTATGAATTAGGCTGTCCGATCAAAAAGCCTTGAGTTTTCATAAGAAGAATCGAGTATAACATTCTTGAACAGGTTTCAAATGCAAGGTTTCAGGAAATGTTCTGCACATGTGCTCTGGAATTCTGTAATAAACAGATCATACCCACTGTCCAACAAGTTTATCATGCCCTAATCTCCTACCTCAATATGATTTATATAAAGCTTGAAAATACTCAAAATAAAATATAAGAAGTAGCTCAGGCCAGGTGTGGTGGCACATGCCTATAATCCCAGCACTCGGGAGGCTGAGGCAGGAGGATCCTCTAGAGTTCGAGACCAGCCTGGGCTAAAAGTGAGCTCAAGGCCAGCCTGAACTGCATAGTGAGACCCTGTCTCAAAAAGACAAAAAAAAAAAAAAAAAGAAAAAAAAAAGAAGTAGCTCTGTGACCCCTGGGATCAATTCCAAGTACTGTCAAAAAAAAAAAAAAGATAAAGCTTGATATTGGCCAAAGCAATGCAATATTGTTTAAAAATGCACGCAGATATAGTAAAACTATGAAGTAAGAATATTATCGGCAGGATAACAGTTTCCTGTAGGGATAGGATGGGCACTGGGATCAGAAATCAGTATTTGGATTAGAGTGATGTGTTCTCACGGTGCTTAATTTCTTTTCTTTTCTAATTTTCAATTTCAAGAACTTAGTTGGCTTTATTTTTCATTCTGGATTCAGGTAGTATCTTCTTCCATAAAATAAAACAAGAGAGTTGATAGGCTAAACAGAAGAGGTTGGTTTTATAGGTAGAAAAGAACTAAAGAAAGAAGGGAAAAGAAAAGGTTAGTCTTACCAGTTTGGGGATCTTATTCAGACTCTTGGTAACCTGAAGAAAGAATTGAGCAGGGCAGTCAGAAAGAATAGCAAAATCAAAGATTTACTGAAAATTAAAGTACTCTCCACAGGGTAGGAGTGTGCCTGTGAGACAAGCTCACGGTCCTAAGGTTTGCTGTTAAGGTTCTTAAGCATTTGGGTTTGAGGCAAAATTGAAGGGTTGGTCTGAGGTTTTACTCTTGCCAGAGAACAGCTTGACCTGTCTCTTCATTTACTGGTGAAGATTTTGACCTTTTATGCCCCTTCTTGGAAGAGGGTCCCCAAAACCCAATGGGGATGAGAGTGGGGAGGGTGAACTGAAACAGCATAGCTAATGATATATGGTAATTAGAGGCAGGTTTGGCCAAGGGTTGCTGAAGACCTCCGGACACAAACCTGGAGGTCCCCTGTGCATGAGCTGGCCTATGCAGCTACCTCCTCCTTTGCATTTGGACCAGAACATCCTGAATCTGGGTTAAAGTTTAACTAGAGGATGGACCTAACCTAGACAGTGGGCTGCAGTGTGCCCCACCCCAGCCATCTCTTGCTACCTTCTTCTCAGCAGGGCTTAGTGGGACAGTGCATGCTTAGTAGGTTCAAAGTCCTGGGATGGATCCCCAGCACCAAAAAACAAAAACAGAAACAAAACAAAACAAAACAAAACAAAAAACCTAGAGCGGTCATTTTAAAGTTATTTTCTTTGTAAGGTAGGGACAAGGAGACAAAACAACAGGGAAATGACTGATGAGGTAACATCAAGTTATCCCAGGTTACTTCTTTCATGTGAGAATTAAGGCTACGGAAGCCTCACCATCCTGCCAGTGGAGACCAGACTGTTTGGGAAATTTGACTGCTATCTCTGTCATCCTGATATCTCAGAAGGTTAAGTGAAGAATTTAAGCTTCAGCTTGATAGTGTGCAGGTTTAGCATGAGTAACTCCATTTTTATTTTTAGCCTAATCTGTTGGGGCCCAGGGCAGATGTTTAGTACAAAACAGTGACCTCCTATAATTTTTATTTAACAATTTAACCATTTTTTTCTTTACCAGTTCCCCTGTTTTGGTTAGGCTCTCATCACAGACACATACTGCCCTGTGCCACCTGGGGACTCCGCCAGTAAAAGGTCACCATCAGACGCAGCTCTTGGACCTTGCACTTCTGGAGCAAAATAAACCTTTTTTCTTATCACCTCCCTCAGATATTGCATTTTAAGGCTATTGCTACAGTTAGTCCATAGGTAGACCAAACAATCGCTCAGGACCCACAAAAATCTAGGTATAAACCGGGTGTGGTGGCTCACGCCTGTAATCCCAGCACTTGCCTGTAATCCCAGCACTCGGGAGGCTGAGGCAGGAGGATTACTGCAAACCTGAGACCAGCCTGGGCTACAAAGTGAGTTCAAGGCCAGCCTGAACTGCATAGCAAGACCCTGTCTCAAAAAGACAACAATAATAATAATTTTAAATTTTTTTTAAAAATCTAGGTATAATGTGACAGATTGAACACTCAGTCAAGTTACCCAAGGGAACTACTGTTTGTGAAATTTTAACTGTAGAATTATTCTTTCAAAGGAGAGCAAAACACAACAAAGGAAAAAGACAAAATAAATAAATAAATAAAAATATGTGTTGTTGAGAATTTTACAATCTCAAATAGAGCATTTAAAGGGCTTAAGGCAAGAAAGTCAAACCAAGGCAGATTTCAGACTTTACCTGCAGTGCCTAATATCCTGAAGTTTCTGGGCGAGCCAGGCGCTGACAGCTTTTACTCAGTGTAAGGCGGGTGACACTTCCAGCAGGCATTCTATGCACGTTCCTAAATATGGCATCCCAACACAAAGCCAGTGTTTCCAATTAGATCTGTTATGAAAATAACAGATTGCTACTAGATTTATGGAAATAACTATATTACCATAAAAGTAAGAATACTCACAAATGTATTCCAAACTCTGAAGGGATCAGAAAATAGGAAGAAAAGTAAATGTTTCCATTTTTGCTTTATAAAAGTATTGATCTCCAAGTTGTTTAAAAAAAAAAACTGTAGTTTTTTTAAAAGTTTCCTTAAATGCAGAAAACAAAACATTAAAACTAATAAAAGAAATTTATAAAAATGATAATATGTTTTCCAATCCATGAACACAAAGAAAGAGAGGGGGAGGAGAGGAAGGGGGGAGGAGAGGAAGGGAGAGGAGGGGAGGGGAGGGGATGGGAGGGAAAAGGAGAGGAAAGGAGAGGAGAGGAGAGGAGAGGAGAGGAGAGGACAGAAGGAAAGAAGGGAGGGAGAAAAACACAATACTTCAAGATTATAGTTGTTTGCAAAAATAAAAAAACCTTCCAGAAGGGCATTAGAATAAAGCAATTTAACTATGGACAACAGGATATGTTAGCTCTGTATCACTGAAACCAACACCAGAGATAACCAATTTACAGAATAAAATGTTTATTTTGGTCACAGTTTTGGATGTTTCAACCCATGATCTATTGGGCTTGTTGGTTTGGACCTGTGGTGAGGTAGCACATCATGGTGGGGGCATGTGGCAGAGCAAACTATTCACCTCATGACAAGACACAAAGATGAGAGAGGTGAGCTGGGAGTGTGGCTCAGTGGTAATGCCACACTCATGCACTACTATGCATGAGACCCAGAGTTTGATCCTTAGCACTGTGAAAAAAACTGGAGTTTGCCATTCCTAAGGGCACACTTCCAATGACTAGTGACCTTCCAGTAGACCTCAGCTCAGAAAGAGTCCACCACCTCCCCAAGGCACCAAGCAAGGACCAAGCCTTCAATACACAGGTCTTTTGTAAACCAGCTAAATCTAAACAATAGCACAAGATTTAAAATAGCTGTGGTTAGCTGGAGCTAGGTGTGGTGAAGCAAGCCTATAATCCCAGCCACCTGGGAGGCCAAGGCAGGAGGACTGCATGTTCAAGGTCAGCCTGGGAAACTTAGCAAAACTCTGTCTCAAAATTAGTATAAGTATACTAATACTATATAATAGCAGCAGTAGTAATAGTAATAGTAGTATAGTAATAGTAATAGTAACAGTAATAGTAGTATGTGGGCCGCCAAAGCGCTGATGGAGTGCTTGCCTTGTATGAGCAAAGTCCTGGGTTCAGTTACTAACACAGCATTAAAAAAAAGTCATAGTTAAAGATCTGATGATTGTCCACAATTGACCAAGGAACTGGGTTATTTCTGTGCCATAGAATAATTTTAACATTAGACTTATGACTGATAAGATATACCAAAGCCTATCAGATTCCTGGGACTCTCATTCAATTTTAGAATATGTGTTAGTAATGCATTCTTATAATATAAATAAGACTGACCATTTCTTGACTGAAAATGCTTTCCATATAATTAAAAAAAATCAAAATAAGCCTAAAATGTCTTTTTGACTTCCAGAAGCCATTGGGAAATCCCAAAGTTAGTTTGAGATCAAAAGATCTAATGTGAGGATTTGATTTGGGGAAATTTGCCAAGCATATCAAAAAGATTTAAAATGTCTGACCAATATAGGATAACATATAACTGTGAAATAAAACCAAAATAACAAAAAATGTCAAAGGCTGCAAAGCACAAAAAGTTATTACAATGGGCATGGTGGGGCACGCCTATAATGCCAGTACTTGGGAAGTTGAGGCCAGAGGATTGCCATGCATTTGAGGTCAGCCTGGGCTACATATGATACCCTGTCTCAAAAAACAATCACAAAAAAGTTATCACAGAATCTGTGTCAGTTAGTTAAAAAACAGTTAGCTAAAAAACAAAGAAAAACCTCTTGCAATTGTTCTTAAGAACAAATCAACACTTTAAGGAAATCTTTTTATTTTAACAAGGTTTTGCATCAGTATACTTCTTATATATTAGTGCTCAATTTTTAGAAAAAATTAATTCCTTTCTAATTTTAGCCAACCTGATCCCACATAAAACTTCTTTTTTAAGACACATCCAGCACAAACTTTTTACAATCTTCCATCATTTACCCTACACACTTCTTCTTTCTTACACTGGAGAAGCCAGCCAGTATACTTTCAAAACACAGCTCTTAGGGAGGGGAACACATGTATGATAGAGTTTATGTAGAGAAAAGTAACAAAATGAGGTTGGAAAATGAAAAGAGGAGAAAAACTGGACATGGTTTCCTAACTGCCAGCCTCAGCAGTCCTGCCACAGATCTGCCTGATTCTTTTGCATGAAGTTGATCTTCCAAGTCATTTCCACACTTGATCTTAGCCAAAAGGCCGAGAAGCGATTCCCAAGTCATTTCCATATTGTGGATCTGCCAGCAGGTTTCATAACTTTCCCACCATCACTGAGAGCAAAGTTCCTCCTAGTATCACCACTGCTCACTGTCCTCTATGTGCCTATCTATGGTGAGAATTCTGTTCAGGATCTTGTAGTCACCTTCCACGCATCCTTCCTGTACCATTGCAGTCCTAGCAAAGAACTTCAAAGAGTTTGCTTGTTTGGCAGTTCTAGCAGAAGACTGCAGCTACTCCTTTGCCCTTGACCAAAGAAATGGTCCTCCTCTGTATTGGAAGATGGTACTCTTGTCCTCTTTGACCAAGTGTGCAGCTTTAGGAGGGACTCACATGGAGAAGTGCAGAAGGAGGGCACACCCGCCTAGCCAGCCAGATCAGCCTGGTGATCACTGGGGACAGAAATCACAGCCAGAATGCCCTCACATCCTAGATAACTTATTTAGAAATGACCTAGACATATCAAGAATCTATTAGCTGTTACCTAATTCAGTATAACATGACCTTAAGAGTTCAACATACTGAAAGAGATGTTTGAAACTGTAGGATTCATTTTTAAACATTTATGCCATTTAGTACCTAATTTACTCATTTAGCAATTAAACTTGAGCCAGGCATGGTGGCACACACCTGTAATCCCAGCACTTGGGAGGCGGAGGCAAGAGCATCTTTGCGAGTTCGAGACCAGCCTGGGCTACAAAGTGAGCTCATGGCCAGCCTGAACTGCATAGTGAGACCCTGACTCAAAAAGACCAAAAAAATAAAAAAACATTAACTTGAATTGCTTAAAACAAAGCTAGCTACAATTTTGTCTTTTTCTTTTGAAAAAGCAAAACCAAACTATAACTGCAATGGTGAGCCTTGTTCCTGCTATGTTTAATTTCTTAATCTGAGGACCTGTTGGCCTTATAAATATTTGTTAAGTTGTGCAAATAATTGATGTACATTTTTAAACAAATCTATGATATTTTACAATAAAAATGTTTTTTTAAAAAGATGGAGGTGAAGCAGGCTTAATAACACCATCAATCTTCTCCTTTGGCCTTGATCATTCCTTTACAATCTTTAGATGTCTCTTATTTTGAATATTATTTCTTGTCTGGGAATTACTGTCTTTGAGAAGGCATAATTACTTTAGCCACGATTTTTATCTAACAGATTCCCTGCACATGAATAGAAAAGCGAAGAAAAGAGGCCTCAACAGAATAAAGAATTAATTCTGTCACTGTGGAGGCTGAACATTCTAATGCTAACTTTGCAGCAAAGTCTGTGAGATGCTAATCCCTGTATTCTCTGGGGTCCCATCAGTTAACAGAAAGAGAATAGAGTAACTGCCTTCCTTGCCAAGGTGAGGAGGGAAAGCTTGCATATCACGGTTCCTGAGCATATAAAACTTTATTCAGATAATTGCTATATGAAAACAAACAAGCTGAATGACTTCAGGAAAAAACAAAACCGTGTACAAAAAAAAAAGATGCAGGCTGAGGATACAGCTTATCAGTAAAATGCATACACACACAAAGATGCAGAACGTATCAGCACAGAAATATGCATTCTACTCTTATGTTATCTATAGACATAGTAGACATCACTCTAAATCTAAACTTTAATTTTGAGCCTCATGGCACAGATCTATATTGCCATTTCTGCATATGTCTTGGAGCTAAGCATACAAAAAAATTACCGAGCTTTGTCTCTGATTCCTACCTACTTTAAGTTTTGTTTAGAAGATAAGGCATACTTGGCATGGGATAATAATTCACAATATACAGCAATTTATGTTGAGCATCAAATGATACCATTAAAAATAGTCGCTGGAGAAGTCTACAGAATCCAGAAGTTTCTGGAGTTATATGTAGTCATGGAAGCGTTTCTCATGAAAAGTTGCCTCATTAAATAAAAGGACAGTGAGTTAAGTATATTCCCTTGCTATTCAAACTATGATTGGAGAGCCACAGTTGGGCTATACCTGGGAGCCTGTTAGATATACAGAATATCAGCCACTGTCTTAGACTAACTTGACACAGAATCTGCATTTTCACAAGGTCCCTAGTGATTCATTGCATTGGAAGATCTGAGAGCACTGTTCTATTCTGCAGATCTCTAAACCATGTTTTTTTTAATCTGAAGGAAAATAAGGCTCCTACTTGCAAATTTCATTCTTATACCAATAAAAAGTTAGGCAATTAAGGAAATCATTTATCTTTAAATGCAAAAAAGAATTATAATGTTAAAAATTAGTATATCAAATTTATCGATAAGGCATTATTCATTTAAAAAAAATTGACAAAAAAAGACAAAACAAAACTTTTAAGATAAAAAAGAACATTTAGCCAGGTGTGGTGGGGTACACCTGTAATCCCAACACTCAGGAGGCTGAGGCAGGAGGATCATTATGCGTGCAAGACTAGCCTGGGCTGCAAAGTGAGCTCAAGGCCAGCCTGAACTGCATAGTGAGACCCTGTCTCAAAAAGACAAAAAATAAAAAATGAAAATGAAAAAGAATATTTTAAGAGAAAAAAAGAACCTCTACTATTGCTAGCCATTTTGGGAAATGAGTAAGACAAGTTTTCTGTCCTATATTAGTCAGCTTT